TGTTCAGACTTGCTTCCCCTCCAGCAATTTCAGGTAAAGATGGGCTGTTACAGATGGGAAACACAAACTGTCTTGTTTCCACTTTAGCTTTAAAAAATATTCACTAGTTTTACTTAATACATTAATCCATGATTATTATGTCAAATTAATGCTTTACATTTCAAGGTGAGTCACTTTAGTGAGAGACTTTGACTTGAATGACTCCAATAACAGGGCATGAACATGTAAACATGGGTATGCAATTGCATTGAAAACACCTGTCAAAATATATAATTGAAGCATATGATCTAACCTAAATATCAATAACAATAGCTGTGTTTTCACTTTATTGCAGTTATGACCTGCTTCATGCAGTTTTGGACTTGTAACTAGGTCAATTATTGTTTATACAACTTAAAATCTTAAAGATGAGCTTTAGAGCACCAGTGTAGCAAAGTAGGTCAGAGACCCTTTAATTTCACAAGCCCTAAATTTAATAAAAACTGTAATTATTTTACTGACATCTTAATAACATTTGAAGGTGCTATGGCATCTATTGTATCTGTTAGATTTTTTTTAGTTCTTCCTCTTCTTGTTCTTCTTCTTCAGCTCTGGAAGTCTATGGCTGCCCATTGAACTGCTTGCAGGAAAGTTATGAAATTTGGCACACCGATAGAGGACAGTCTCCACGTTAACCACAGCAAATTTGGTGTCTAATTCAAACTCTCTAGCGCCACCACTTGTCCAAATTTGCACTCATGTTTATGCTAATAACTTTTGAACCATAAGGTCTAGAAGAAAAATAATTTTTCCTCTGATTCCTTGGCTCATGCAGAGTTGAATGGACTCATTCGACGAATTGGCTCAGATCATCTTCAGACCATGCTGGCAAAAAGTTATCGAAAGCCTTGATATTGATAGACCCATCCGTTCTCGAAAACTGAATTTGACGAAAAGCTCACCAAATCGGACATGAGGCTATATCTTTCCAATGCTTTGTCATATTCAGACCAAACTTGGTGTGTGTTATGATAACCTTGACCCAAGGTTACTTGCACAGTTTTGCCGCAGCGCCACCTAGTGGTCCGGAGATATGAAAATTTTTAATTTTTTCACTTCTGAACGCTTTTGCCAAAAATCACAAGACTTGTCTCTTTAGATTCAGAGCAGCATACTGAGTCAAACAATGCCCAGTTTTCCCATGTCGGCCATTTTGAATTTAGCCGAAAAATTTTATATATTTTTTAACGTATTGACATATTGCTACGAACCTCGGTATGTGTCTTCGGCACCATGCCCTTAAGGTACTCAAACATTTTGATGCCAGTGCCACCTTGTGATCAAAAATTATAATGAAATATATAAAAAAGATGTTAAAACTTTTGAAAATTTTTGTCTATTTTCTTGATAGATTCCTTGGATCATACCGCGAACATCAATACCAATTATGCCATAATCGGCATAATTTTCTTTGAAAACCTATTTTTTCAAACTCCTCCTAGACCTTTGGTCTTATTTTCAACAAATTTGACTCATCTTCAGACCATGCCACCAAAAAAAAAAGCCTTTTGTCAGATCAAACCGTTTTCAAATAACGCATCAATGAAATTGTTGTTATGATACCAAGCTGATCCTGAGGCTGCAACTCACTTTGCCATATTGACACCAAACTTTTTATGTGTCACTGTAACCTCGCACTGACCACACCATAACAATCTGATAATGGTGCCACCTATTGGTCAAAAGTGATGAACCAGTGAATCATATCACTAGTGGTTATATTTATGATTTTTCAGCAATTTTGACTAAACTCATCCTAAAATGGCTTTAATTGCTCATTGTTGCAGTTGGTCTGATGCTCCATGCCATGCTTAGCTCATCATTTTGCCTCTGTTGTGTTTGGCCCCTTAATTGCTACTTGCAGCAATATTTTATATTATTTCCAATGGAAGTCTTATTATGGATTGAGCAAGAATGTAAAGGTTTATAATCACACTGAAAAAAAATTTAACTCAGAAATTGCTAGTCAAATTCACAAAAAATTAAACAAAAACAATAGAAACAGAAATGTTTTTTTTTTAAGTAGTTGTGTTATATAATTTTCTCAAAACAATGTTGTAACAATTATTAGCTTGTAGCTCTCTGGAACACTTAAAACTATTTAAAAATATATTTTTATATTGTGCCCACTAAATTAGTTTTTCTCAACACCCTCTTTCTTTCCACATAATAAAATAATTTCAAATAAATATCTCATGCCTGAAGTTCAAGGCTTTCTCAGCAAAATAGAAAGGTTTTCTATTGAACCTTTGTGGTTTGTGAGTGGTCATTGTTGGCTTTATTGCTCTGAGATTACTGGAAGGTTTGCCACTTCTTCCAACATTGTACAACTCAGAAACCACCAAGGGTCTTTTCCTCCCAGTGAATGTACTTTTTGTTATTCATTGCTCTGTAGATGAAACTGCACATACGTTTGTCCATTTTTGGGTTAATACCTTAAGACTGTTTTGCCATGCTTTCAGGAAGACCACACACCTTTTACCTGCTCTGAGATGAGTCTCAGATTGCATTGGTTTTGTTTGCTAGGTACATGATTGCTGATAAACAATCAAAACATCTTATACTTTGGAAAGAATTCAGCTTGTCTGTTATTTCCAGAGAGAATAACTGAAATTAAGGTGCTTGTCATAACGTCTATGGATCTCTTGCATGAAACATGAGCGCAATGGATTTTTATGTAAATAGTTTGTAACTAAAATCTTTTGAGTTTAAGAACAATGCACCAAAATTTGTTCTGTTGTGTTTTATGAATTAGGCCCTTTAACTGTTTTCTCACGCATGTGCTTTAAAATAAGATATGATGCCGTTGGGGCAAAACATGTGAGCTGTGACCTTCCAGTGCAAATGTCACAGTTCACCTGTCAGATCCATGGTTTTGCAATAGCTATTATTTAAAAGAGTAAAGAAAAATTGTGATGCAAATAAGTGATTGTATAGCATAGTTCTATGAAGAACACCCCTGGGCAAAAAATGGATCAAGTCAAAAATGTATAAATATTTAGCTTTTAATGGTGCACATTTGATCATTTTAACCACAAATCACTGGAAATTAGCAAGCATTGCACAAATACTGTAGATAAAGTAACTTAGTACAGGATATACTTTCCCTTTGTTTGCGTTAAATGTTTAAACCATGTGGGTAAACTTGCAGATTACCTTTTAAGGAAGTTGAGTCAATGTTGTTCCACTGAATATTGATGGCTTCAAACAGTTAGGAGTTGAAAAATGTCTCCCAGTTAGTTGGAGTTTATTTGAGACCAAATATTCTTATAGGGTTCAAATCTGGACTCTGACCAGGCCAAAATACAAGCCTGACTTGTTTTTAAGCCACGTCTTGGTTATCTTTGCAGCATGGGCAGGAGCTTCTTGTTGAAAAATAACATCTGATCGTTCCTCTTTAGGCAACAAATTTTCACTTGTGGGAAGCAAGCTATTCTCCAGTATTCTCTTATACTCCAAAGCATTATTTGACTTTTCACAGTAAAGCAGCTCCCCAGTACCAGCATCACCCTCCATGCTTCACTGTGGTAGTGCATTCAGATCTTCAAAGAAAGATCTTCTTTGATCACATCAAAGATCTTTTCTGGCTCTTCACCGTGCAACTTGTGTTTTATCATGATGCATCACTCCACAGAATTCTGCTGAACCACTCATATTCTGCCAAAAACTTCATTTTGTCTTTGATATTTTTCTTAAACAGCGATGGTGTGTTTTGCTTAATTCTTAATTGATTAAGTGCATTTGCTAATTTCTTTACCAGTAACCTATGAATAAATCCATTAAAAGATTCTATAGAAGTATGAGGAATTTAAAATGTTATGGTGCAGACACATCACTGTACCATGGTTTTTTTCTTTGGATGTGAAGAATGAAAACTCTATAGCAAGTTTTTTTGTTTGTTCTAACATGAATATGATTGGCATGAATAGACTATTGGCATGAATAGACTATGTTGTTTTTGGAAAGCTAGAGTAAATCAGAGCGGGAAAAATTAACGTTGTGCCAAGTTGTGCTTTTTTGAAAAAGAAACTGAGTCGTGCATAAATGGGTGGAGGGCTGTGCTTTTGAAAATGAAGCAAATAAAATTACCTTTACAATAGTGATGCTCTTGGCGTTGTTATAGGTGCTTCACGGAAAAGCACACACCCTTGGATCTGTGCCAAGCTCTCTGATATCAAAAGCCATTCAAACTATTCATTATTAAGGTAATGACATGTTTGGATCGCTTTAAACACCCTTTTGTTGAACAGGAAAATTGGGAAAGGTCTAGATTATGCGCATTATTTCTGTCTCCGCTGAAGAGACTTTAGACAAATTTGGGAAAATTAATTTTGTCCATCAGTCAAGTGGGTTTAAACTGAATTTTAAGAAATAGAAATGTTAAGAGTATGCTAAATTGAAATACAATGGGGTCCAAAAACGTTGAGCCCATTGAAAATCTGGGATTAAAAAATTTTAAATGTGAAGAATGTTTTGGCATATAAATTATTATAGATCAAATTATGACTAGATAAATATACAGATAATTTTGTTTATAATATTAAGGAATATTCACAAACTAAGAAATTGCGCATTATTTCAATTCACTCAAATTGCTAAGCTGATAATATCATTTTCAAAAAAACTAGTAATCTAGCAGCAGAAATCAGATAAAGTCATTTTGATAGTTTCTGTAGAGAAAACGAAAGTTGTGAGCATCAAACCGTTATGCAACTCTGTTAAGAAAAATGTAAATATTTCTCTGAGAGTTCAGCTGAATTTGTGTCCGGTTGTTTATGAGCTGTGAAATTAATAATCAGGTCATGCACCCCTGCAGACAATTCTACGGGAATAGAGGGGAGAAAAGCCAGTGAAGAATGTGGGAATGATAAATAGATGTGAAACTGATGCATTTACAAGATAGGGGTGGAGCAAGTACGGTAAGTCTTAGCGTGAAATTGAAAGTTTGCCCATTTTTTGTGTATAAATACCTGCACCTGATACCTGCATGTCACACCTGTGCACAATTGTCTGATGATCTTGTGGAGACCAAACACAAAGACAAGAATGCAGACTACAACAGTAACTCTCCTGGTCATTACTGCAGTCCTCTGGGGCAACATAGAAGGTAAGAAAAAAAAACTACTCTCATGGCACACATCTTGCAGCTTCTCAGAACTTCTTCTGAATTGAGAACTGGCTGCAGCTCAGGATGAATAAAGAAAGAAAGAGGCATTAGCTGGCTTGCTTTTCTCAAAGATTCAGTTATACTGTGGGAGCAAGTTCCCGTAAGTCCAGAAATACTCAGAAACAGGCCAAGTTTTGTTCTTGCATGGGGTCAAATGCATATACAGTAGAGGGGTTTCCTGTAAAAAAGTGTTGCTTATGCTGTCCTTTCACTCTTAGCTTTTTCAGACACAGCTGTGGACTGCTGTCTGACAACCAAGGATACTCGTATTCCAATACAGATTGTTGCATCCTACTTTCACCAAACCACAGAGAGTGGCTGTGCCATTCCAGCTACAGTGTAAGTATCCATTTATGGTCTTTATAGGCCTTGATGGTTCCATGAAAAACCTTTAACATCCAGGGAACTACAAAAGGTTCTTTATATTGGAAAAAGGATCTTTAGATTAGTAAAATGCTCTTCCTACTAAAAAAAAGTGTTCTTTTAAGAACTGTTCACTGAAAGGATACCAATAATGGCAACCTCCTTTTGGAAGCTTTATTTTTAAGAGTTTTGACTTCATTGATTCTAAATGCATGTTTCCTTTTTTCTGTTCCCATAGATTCATCACAAAAAAAGACAAGAAACTGTGCGCTCCACCAGAGAAAAACTCCTGGATTACTAGAATCGTCACACACTTAGACAAGAAGAAAAAAACTCCTCAGTAGGAACACAGGTATAAAAAAAAACTTCCCCTCTTCAAGCTCTTAGTTCTGCTCTCATAGATCATCTCATAGACATCTTCAAAGCCAAATCAGACAATAAGCAGTTCTTCTTCCTTGAAACCTTTTTCTGTTTCCTGATAACAAAAACTGAATCAGATTTTGTTTTGCTGCTTCACAGATGGGAGGCGTACATGATGACACTGTAACTGCACTGAGCAACACTGGACTAGACAGGAAATGACTACAATTATTAACTGCCACAGTGATTTTTAAAAGATATTTACAAAGCATTTTGGGAATCATGCAGATATGGGGAATGCATGATGTTCGAACTTTGTAAATGATAAAAGCGGATATGCTATTTGTTTATATTTGACTGCATTGTCTTACTGTAGCAATTATGAGTCTCATACATTTGCATGAATTATCCTGTGAGCTGTGTCTGTATTTTTAGCATATTTTGTATGACTGAAATTTTTAAAGAATGTAAATAAATTCATTTTGTTAAATCTCCTGTGCAATGAAATGATTTCATCTAAACTTTAGATTCTAAAGCACCTCACACTTATGGATGTATGGATGAAAAGAAGTCTCTTATGCTCACCAAGGTTATATTTAATCGATAAATTCAGTACAAACAGTAATTTTGAAATAACCGTTTTCTATATGAATATATTTTAAAATGTAATTTATTCATGTGATGAGAAAGCTGAATTTTCAGCATCATTACTCCAGTCTTCAGTGTCTCATGATCCTTCAGAAATCATTCTAAAATGCTTAAAATACATTTATTATTATTATTATTATTGAAAACAGTTGTGAAAAACCGTTACAATTTTTTCTTAGAAAGCTTAAAGGAACAGCATTTATTTGCATTTGCATTAAAACCTTTTGTAATGCCAATTTTGATCATGATTGCCAAAAAAAATTATGATATTGAAATGTTCATGTACAAGATTGCTGTTGCCCTCAGATGTTTGTGATTTCAAACGCTTGAGATAAGGTGATGATGGTCCTTGACAAGCGGCACATGTAAAGAAGGTGTGTGCAAACTGAAATTGCATGGGAATTTCCTGACTTATTCAAATGCACAATGGCATACCAATAATACTTTTAGATTTGCTCTACATTCCTAAGTGCTACACATTTAAGCATTTAATCAAATAACTCTCAGTTTACAACCCTTAATATTCACAGCCATTAAGCCAATCTAGCATTAAAGACATCAAACAGAATTTATAAAGTTCTGCTTCTACATTCAAACCTGAATAATAAACCCAACAGAATTTACTCTTTTCTCTCTAATCACACACACACACACACACACACACACACACACACACACACACACACACACACACACACACACACACACACACACACACACCAATAATAATGAACATTGTGACACTGAGTAAACATTTACAGTAATATTTTTTTTAATCCAGTGGAATTCCCAGCTCTGTATTGACAAGGATCATGAAGTCGATCTAACAGTTTGTCAGGTTCATCTGAACTGCTTCTTCAGTCATATCGAAACATCTGCCAGTCTGGTGGCCTTTGAGTGAGAAAGTATTTGAGAGTCTGTGAGAGTTTCTATGTGGGTTTAAGTGGAGAAGAGAAAAAGAGAGCAAGGAACAGATACAAAGAATGGGATGCATTGTGCCGTAAATTTGTCCCTCCTTCAAAAAACAAAAACAAAAAAAAAGGAAGTCTTTTGTCCAGGTCACAACTCACAACCTCTCTTTCAGCCTTTGACTTTGTTTTTTACAGGACAGGGGAGGGACTATGTGTAAAAATGAAACTTAAGATTGTCCTATAAAGCAAGGGAGCGATGGAGCAGTGAGAGGAGAGTGTTAGAGAAGTGATAAATATCTTCCAGCTGCTTCAGCAGGACAAACGCGACACTTGTTTCACCATCTTCTGCAGCGGTTGCCATGGCTTCAGCCCTCCTATCTGCCATGAGTCTGATTCTCTGTGCGGTGGCGCTCATTCTCTTCAGCAGTCCAGCAGGTAAGTTTGGTTTTCTTCCTTCATCTTCATCTTCATCTTTATGTGCTTCATGAATGCATGGAGGATGTGATATATTTGATAATTTATTTGTTCCTTTATTTCATTTATATGATGGTAGATCATACAACTCAATGATTCTAGTTAGTAATCAGAGAAAAAAAAATCAGATTAGCTAAATCTAATCAACTAAAAAGACTCAAACTGAGTCATCCCAACAGTGATCAATCAGTTTATTTATATATATATACAGTATATATATATATAAAAAATGTAAATATATTTATATATTAAATACATAATATTTTTAAGCAAATTAATGTAATTTAATATAACAACTAATGATATAAAATTAAATATAAATACTAACACTTGATTTGGTTTACTGCAAACTATTATACAAGTACAGCACAGTAATGTATGCACAATAAATGTGCCAAGACACTTTCTGTTTTTCTTACATACAGATGTTTTGAGACTTCTCTAGGGGCATACACAGGTGGTGCAAAATACTTGTTTTCCTGTATTTTCATCTCTTGTCTCTCATCATTTTTTAATTTCTCTTTTGTCTCAATCTCTCTCAGAGGCTCAGGCAGACTTAGCACTGGACTGTTGCCTGACGGTTAGCCATAAAAGCATCCCTAAACACGTCCTCGTCACTTATTGGAAGCAGCTGAAAGTTGACGGCTGCCCCCGAGATGCTGTTGTGTAAGTATATAGTAGTCGACATTTGAAGTGGATCAAAAAAGTGAATCAAAGTTGTCCTAAGACAAGAACACATTTTGGTTTAGATTTTAGGACAACTTTGATGAAAGGTTTTGATCCACTTCAAATGTTGACTAGTGTATTCTTCAAAGGAAACGATTGGACTGAGTCATGTGTGGGAGCCTGGGAGTGAATGAAACTATTTATGAGCACATTTTCAGACAAAACAGACATGAAAGAGCGTATTTAATGGGAAAAGCCATTGCGCTTAACATACAATGCTCCAATTGTCTACTCTTCTAGTCAAATAATGTGCAAAAATCAACTATCTTTCAGATTCACAACCAGGAAAGGTTTGAAACTTTGTGCCCCACCTGCAGAGGAACAGCAGTGGGTTAAAGAGACGATCAAGTTTCTGGACACCAGGCTCAAGAAGTGCAAGGGAAACAAATTTCATGTACGTAATTCACCGTAGTTTTGTTTCCTCTGTCATGTTTAGTATCTGATGACAAAGCTGGTTGCACAACAGGTGAATCATCATTATTGCACGAGCCCTGTAGCAGGCCACTTTCTCCTTTCTGGTTTTCATCTGCCACATGACATTGTTTATAAGTAGTAGATCACGATTTGTATGTTATGATCTTACTCATACAAAACCACAAACTATTCAACTGTGAAACCACAAGCCAAAACATCCTCCTACGGCAAGCTTACTGAGCCTTAAACCGACCACCAACATTGAGGACTCAGTCAGACTGTGGTGCATGTTGCATTATACATGAAGCATGTGCAGAAAAACTGTATTTTAAATAATGAAATTAGAATTAGTAACAGAATTCTAATAAGAATGCAACATATTCAAATATAAGAAGCATTAGAAGAGTTCAATTCAAGTCAAGTAAAAGAGTAACATGCCTTTATAAGCAGGCTTTAACTAATGGTTTTCTCTGTGTTCTTTTATTTCAGGAGAAACGCTGTCACGCCCTGAAGAATTTGTCTTTTTGAGTGAACACATACACATACATATATACATTAAATGGCAGCTGATGTAGTCGCTGTGACAGCTCACTTCTAACAGTTTCTGTAATACGTTTAGGTTCTTCCTCTTTCAGCGTTTTCATCCTAAATTATCAAAACATGCCAAGTTGTCTGATCTTCCCATAGTTGCTGTTGTGTGAACATATTATCCTTGGTTTTTGTGTGTATTCTATTCTGATATAATCATTGTGTTGTTTTTGTTTATGTGAATAAATTTGTTGAAAAAAAAACCACAATTTGAAGATTGTATTCTTCAAAGTCCTGACTTTAGACATAAATGCATAAACACATGATAATGTGTATATTCTCACACACATACATCTATCTAAACAGGGAATTGCACTTAACTGCACTTTAACTGTACTGCAAGACAAAATATAATTACTATAAACTCTCCCAAACCCTAAAATACAACTTTGACGATTTAAAACTGAATAAAAGTATCATTTATAGTATTTTTGTGAATCATTTTTCATTTTTGTGTGTCTAAGTCAGAAACTCATGAATGTGAGCCTATTTATTTAAATGGAAGAAACGTATTGTCATATTTATGCAGAAATATTTAATTTCAGCATCATCTGATCAACAGACAACACGATTTAAAACTGAATAAAAGTATCATTTATAGTATTTTTGTGAATCATTTTTCATTTTTGTGTGTCTAAGTCAGAAACTCATGAATGTGAGCCTATTTATTTAAATGGGAACTTTTTATTGGGTCCTTAAAGTGAATTCCATTAATTAATCCTAACCCTAAAATACAACTTTTGGAAGCCCATTATTTAGCGTCTGCGTTAAGGTTTTGCTGCTTCTTTAGAGATTCTGTCTTGATTTTATTTCCTCAAAGCCACAGCTGCGAGGTCACTACATTTACATGCAACCAAATAATCCATTTGTAATCGGATTGACGGCTCAATCGGATTGAAAACCCTTCATGTAAACACCTTAATCGATCCGATAGTGATCGATCGATTGAAGGGGGTGGTTTATTCCTTTTCTAATACGATTGAGAGTGCATGTAAACACTCGATCGGATTGAACCCCGAAACTGCTAGAACTGCGCATGTGCAATGCAAAGAATAGCGTAATGACATATGACGTGCAGAATGAGCAGTTCTTCCTTTTGAATAAAGTGTTGTATAAATGCGTGTCCTGTCATTATAAAACTCTCCTTTCACTCGGCAACTGTGAAGTGGAGCAGGACAACCTCCCATCAGTCCATGTTTTGGATTCTCATCCACAGGCAACCCGTTTTGGG